TTTTTGAGTCTCGACATAACCGGTGTGTCGGAGAACACTTGTTTATTAGAAAAAAAAACTTTTTGGCCAACAACGGTCCCTATCGGATAGGAGACTTTGTTAAAAAGTTTTATGATTTTTTTATTTTTTTGTTATTTTTCTTTATATTTTTCTTTATATTTTTTTATTTTTTTATTAATTTTTCTTGCATAAATACTATTTTTTATTTTTTTTATTTTCATTTTTATTCTTATCGTTATTATTTTATTTATTATTATTTTATTTTATTTTATTTTTTATTTTTTAGTGAAAGATTGTCATCGGTCCCTAAAAATTTAGAAGACTTGACGATCTTCTACTTATTACTTATCGAGCCCGATTCTAAACAAATAAATTAAAGCTACATGAATTAAATAAAAAAAATCAAATACCGATATTTAAATTAATAATAGGTATGCATAAAATAAATTCAAAGGTAAATTCAAACAATTACAAAATATTAAAATGACAAATTCTAACTAACATACATAAATACTATTTTTTTTTATTTTTTTTACATGAAAGATTGTCATCGGTCCCTAAAAATTTAGGAGACTCGACGATCTTTTACTTATTACTTACCGAACCTAATTACTGAACAAATAAATTAAAGCTACATGAATTAAATAAAAGAAATCAAATACTGAAATTTAAATTAGTAACGAGCATGCATAAAATAAATTTCAGATTGAAAATTACATTAATTAAAATAATAAAAAATAATTCAATAGCCAATTTTAATACGAAATAACAAAATCCCTATAAAAAAATTCACTCTTTTTTCTTACTCTTTTTTTTTTTTTTGGGTAGCCCGGCCCGAAAAGAAAAAAATTCAATCGAGCCGGGTTGGAATCAATCCAGCCCAAAAGAAAAAAAACGAGTCGGACTGGAATCGATCCGGCCAGTGAAAATGGGTTGGGCTAAGCCCAACCCAACCCACAAAAAAACCCACAAACACTCCCCCTTTTTTTCTTCTTTCATTTCGGATCAAACTAAAACAACCCCACTTTTTTTATTTCTATCCCGTCTCTCCCTCTTTCCTTTTTCTTTCTTTTTCTTCTCTTCTCCCTCTCTTCTTCTCCGTCGGCTCCAACCTCCATGGACGAACCAGTGGAGGTTCGTCCCTTCTCTTCCCTTCTCCTTTCCTTTCTTTCCCTTCTCCCTTTCTTCTTTTCTTCCCTTTCTCCTTTCTCTCCCTTTCCCGTCTCTCTCTTTTTTTTTTTTTGTAACACGCTAGCTGCTGCTGCCATGGATGAACCAGTGGAGGTTCGTCCATGGCAGCTTGATTTTCCCTTTTCTTTCTTTCTTCTCCCCTTTCTTTCCTTCTTTCCCTTGCTCAAACAAAAACCCCTAAATCAATTTCTAAAAATTCTCCTCAATTCGACCGAACCCTAATTTTTCAATTCTTCAAATTTTCATGCGATATTGCCTTGATTAGATTGAAATCAAGTTAATTCACACCCTTTAGGACTCAATTTTATCAAAACCCCCAAATCTATTCTTCAAATTTTTACAATTTCAAAAAAATCCCAAATTTTAAATCGGACTTAAATTGAAACAAAAAACGAAATTAAAGAGAAATTAGAGGGATTACCTAAAAGAATTGGTTGGAGTGGATGTGGATCGCCTTCAATTCAGGTAAATTTAATTTCCCTTTTTTTTTTTGTTTCGAATTTTCTCTCTTTTTTCTTTACTTGTCGATTTCCCCTTTTTTTTTTTTTTTTCAATCGCTAACTCTCTCCTAATTTTGCGAGGCTTCCCTCTTAATTAATTTGTTCTTGGATATCGGACTAAAAAAAAATCCCCCTCCCTTCTCTCTTTTCTTTTTTTTCGTTGCTCCCCCCTTTTTGTTCTGTCGTTGTTGTATGTGTGTGTGTATATATATATGTGTGTGTGTGTGTGTGTGTGTGTGTGTGTGTGTGTGTGTGTGTGTGAATACGGCTTGGTTCTCCACCATGATGGTGTGAGATTTTTTTGCGGGATTTGGAGTGGGCGTGTGTGACCATTTTCGGTTATAGGGGATGGTTGTGGCGAGTGGCCGGTAATAGGGGAAGGGTCTGTGTAGTTCGCTGCCGGTTGCGGCATGGTGAGGTTGCAGGAATTGGGAGAAATGGTCCGGAGGGACTCGTGGCGAGTCTGCGGCGAAATAGTGAGGTCTGGCGAGTGGGGGTGCTTGCTATTGTTGATTGGGTGATGAGGGAGAAATGGCAGTTGCTTGAGGGAATTAATTTTTTTCTAGGATTGGAATTCAAGACCAAAATTGAGCACATAAATTAGTTCCCGCAATCGAAACTAAGAATGATTCCGTGAAGCGGGAGAAAAAATAATCTCGAAATTAGTTACGAGGCGGGAGGGGTGCAAACTTTGTATTTTTTTGATTTTTTTTGTAATTTTTATTTTTTTGTAATTTAATTTTTTGTTTTGTTTTTGCATTTTGGTCCCTATAAATCGTTATTAGGTCAATTTGGTCCTTGTCCAATGTAATCCGACTCTTGAATTTTAAAATGATTCGATTGTATCCTCAATTATCATAATACTTTTGAATTTGTTACAATTGCATCCCCGAATATTAAATTCACCTTGTTTTTGTATTTTTGTATTTTTTGTAAATTTTTTTTTTGCACATTATTAAGAAAAAATGGAATAAATAAAAATAATAACATTGATTAAGATAAGAAAAATAAATAATTAAAAAAACTTAAAATAAAAGAAAACAAATAATCAATTAAAAATAAAGAATTCGAAATTTTGGGTTATGGCATTAATGAAAGAGAATTATATGATGGGCTAAACTCGACGGACCTTGTTGTCATCTCGACGAGGCCACACCATTGGAGTTGCTCGATGCACCATTTTTCGCAATTTCCCTTTTTTCTTTTTTCTTTCTTTTTCTTTCATCTCCCTCTCTAATTAGACACCATGAGGGAACCGGAACCTATCCATTTTCTTTTTCCTTTCCTTTTTGTTTTCTAATTAAGGTTGCTTTCGTTCAGTCCTCTCTCTCTCACTCATCCCCGTTTTAATTTTTCTGGGTGTAATCCTAAATTCCCAACCTTACCAAACGAAATTCCTTCCCCTAGAATTAAGCGATCCTAGAGTAATTACTCGAATTTAATCCTGTTACATTGATCTCATGACAAACGGGTTGGGTGGCCTATTTCTAGTTATTTTTTTGTCACTGTCATTCTTTCCATTTTTTTTTTAAGTAAAATCGAATAATTGAATTTGGAATGGAAAGGAATTGAATGAAATGCGTTACCCGAGTGAAGTTTGATGAATTGGAGCGAATTGAATGAAACTTATACGAGTGGTATCGAGCCTTCGTTGTAGGTGGTTGGTTGAGAGATTTATGAAGTTATACCCAGATCTCCCCTCTAGGTGAAGAATAATTTTCTTAGGATTTAAAGCTTAAAGAACACTACCTAGAAAATAGAATGTAGAAGAATGCTACTGTCACAAAGCTCGAAAATTTCCTCTTCCCTTCTACCCAAGATGCTACCCTTTTTATAGCTACCGACAATTTGAGTTTCATCTCAAATCAAACACTTTCAAATTTGAGTTTCATCTTAAATCATATGCCTTAAAAATCAGATTTTTTAGCTATCCAATTTGAACTCAACTTTTGTTACTGAAATGTGATCTTGATTAGCTAAACGCTCGAGATAACTAAATTTGAAAATTTGCGATAGATTTCAATCTGTTTCCCTCCTCCTTTTTCTCCCTTTTTTTATTATATATATATATATATATATATATATATATATATATATATATATATATATATATATATATTTGCATTTTTGTATTTTTTTTATTATTATTTTGTTTTTTTTTTAAATAATAAAAATGGAGGTGTTTTTTTTTTTTTTTTCGGTTATAACAATTTGTGTGGTTTCTCCTCTCTCTCCCTCTATATATAGCGTTGGAATCCTAAACAATAAGGTTGGGAAGTAAATTGATGATGAGAAATTATGCTCAGATAGATGTCAAGCACATTTTAATTTGCTTAATTGGGGCATCAAACTTTTTGCTTTTCTAATTGGGACCATATTACTAATTAAGATTTCAATATGGTCCCTATCTCCCATATATGCACTATACAAGCATGTTAATTTTCCAAATCAAATGTGACGAATACCTTTTGTTTTTCTCCTCCATGTCCTTATGCTCATCCACATTAATTAATTCTCTTACTTTTCCCTCAAAAAATTGCCAAAATGGTAATTATTATGGCCATGCATATACTATATATAGTCAAATCAAGAGACTACCCCATGTAACCTAATATTCTTTCTTTTTTCTTTTTTTTCCAGTTATTTCCATACAAGTCATCCATATTTGAACTATTATAATTCATACGTATCTTATAAGATTCTCTTTTTCCAACCTTCTTAAATTTGTATTGAAATTAATAAACCAACCAGAACAAAAAAAAAAAAAGTCTAATATAAGATATTCAATCTTTTATTCTTCACAAATTATTCCTCCTTGTAAGACTACAAAAAATTGTTTTTCAAATCATGAAGCTTTATGACATTAGGGTTACCAATGGGGTTAATTATCTCTCTTTTTTTCGAAAAACGAACAATTTTTAATCCATCGGAATAAGAAATAACATCTGTTAGTAAAACCTTTATTATTATTATTATTATTATTAATATAAGATATTCAATTTTAAATTAAAAATCTAAAATTTTTCATTACTAAAGGACCTTTGAAAATCACCTGGAATCTCAACCATGGATCCATTAAATCCACCAATCAAATGATGGCTTATTTTCGAAAATTATTTAATAAAATTCATTTTAACTACTAGCGATTATAGTAGAGTCCTTTGTAAATCTTGAAAAATCTAAGCCCATAGAGCCCAGCCCACATCAGGGTTGCCCAGACCGACCCATATGATTAACATACGAAGCCCAACAAAACCCAGCGGTAATCAGTAAACAACCGCCATAGAAAAAACAGAAACTTCACTTCGAATGAACTCACCGCAGCGTCAATTACCACGTACGCTCGTGGCACACTCACCGGAGCGTGATAAACAACCGCCACCGATCCCAACCGGTAACGACCTAGAGTCATCTCTCCTCCAAATCTTCACCGATCATCACCACATCTCTCTCCGTCTCCGTGAAACCATCGGTCAGTTCTAATTTTCCACTCAATTTGATTTCAAAGATTTGAAATTTTAGAGGTTTTGGGATGGAGACAGAGAAAGCGAAGAAAGAAGCTGTAAGAAATGCGGTGAGAGTGGCGGATTTGTTGGTGGATGGAGTGAATGGAGGAGTGCAGGAATCCTTCGAAAATTTAGATTTTTATGTTGAAGGTGGTGGTCATCGATATATGCAAGCTCTGGCGTGCTTGTAACTTCTCAATTCAAATCTATGAAAGAAGTGGTAGAGAGGTAATAGCTTAACTGGGATATGAGTAATTAAGCTTTCTCAAACTTTGTTTCATTTTCTTGGCAACCAAACAACAAATAGTGTTACAAAATTAAAGCAAATAGAGAAAAAAAATGTTTTGCGGACTTGGTTAATAATCTTCTAAACAATAGCTGTTTGAATTGAAGATATTAAATGTTTAAGAACTGAGAGAGCATAGCTTTTTTTAAAAAAATTAAGCAAACCTCACAAATTACTATTACTATTTGGAAGGTAATTAAAAAAAACATAGTAATTGTTGAAGAAACAAAATACAAAAAAGAGAAATAATGACATACTCGTACATAATATAATATATAGAAGCTCTTCTGGAAATTCTCAGCAACTCAACAGATCTTCCAATGTTATTATGGAGAATGGCTTCGCAATGGAGGCCATCGAGCTATGAGCTCCGAAACAACTTTTCTCATGGTTGGCCTAAATTTGGGATCAGCAACTAAGCATGCACATGCTATTTTGGTGATGTAGACTACACCATCCGCAACTTGATTTTTAGGAAGTGGGATCCTTTGGTCTATAATGTCCTTCAACAATGTATGTTGGTGTATTTTTGAGGATGACGACGAGGGAAATTCGATGATGAAAGAGATGAGATGAGATCACCTGGATGCCTTCCCGTAATTACTTCCATTGTTACCATACCAAAGCTATAGACATCACAATTTTCATTCACTTCCATTGTGTAAGCCAGTTCTACGAGAAAAATTGGCTTTATAATTAAAACAACAAACATATAAAGAAAAATTTAATGATTGATGTATCTATATGTTAGGAAAGAAATCAATAAACACACCCGGAGCCGTGTATCCAAAGGTGCCGACAAATGAAGTCCAATTGCTTGAGTCCGGCATCAAAAGCCTTGTTGTGCCGAAATCGAAACACGAGCTTTATATTCTTCATCCAAAAGAACATTATTACTAGAAATGTCTCGATGAATGATTGGAGGAGTGCAATCATGGTGCGGATAAGATAATGCATTTGCCACCCCTTTAACGACATTGAGCCTTTTCATCCGAGTTTAACTCCATTGCTTGATCTTCATCATTTAAAATCTTCCTCAAACTGCCCCTTTCTATGAACTCTTAAACTAGAAAGGAGTGCTTTCTATGTGAGCAGAAACCATATAACTTCACAATATTTCGATGTCGTATGTCAATCAACACACGAACCTCACTTCTAAAAGCTTTCAAATTGGTGAACTCGCCCTCTTGTGATTGGCGAAGATTCTTCACAGCGACCACTCGATCTCGCCGACAACACTACTTTGTAAACAATTCCATAGCCTCCTTCCCCTATACAATAGTTGGAATTGAAATCTTCGAGTGGCTTGAATGATGTTCTCGTAGACCATCTTCCCATCATAACTCCATATTGCAAATATGTCTTGACATTGTTCCTCCACTAATTGGGCTTTTCTATTTCTACCTCTTTGGTGAAGAAAGTAAAAACCTCCAACAATGATAAACAATAGAAACAAACTCGCCTAATAAGAGTGGTACTATCAAAATGACAATTCTATTTCTCTTTCGTACACCATTTTTGAGAAGAGAATTGCAAGGCTTCGAGTAGTAGCATTGCCACATAGGCTTGTATTATTCATATATGCCTCAAATGGAGCCTTTTGAAAGGCTTTGATGTTTGGAAGAGGGCCTCGTTAGCTCATTGTAGGATATGTCCACAATTGTCAAGCTTTCCGGATCTTTCAAAGTTGTTGGAATGAGACCATTAAGCATGTTGTGAGAGAGGTTCAACATTTCTAGCCTTTTTAGTTGACCAAGTTGCCGTGGTATCTCCCTTGCCGCAGATTCCAACCGAGATCAAGTTGTTGAAGAGAATGCAGGACGCCTATCTCAAATGGAATGCTTTTTTATGAATCGTTATGACCTAGGTTCAACCGCAACAAATTTGAGCACCTTCCAAGTTGTTGTGGAATTGATCCACTTAGATTATTTGCTGCTAAATTAAGGAGTTGAAGTGCGGATAAATGCTCAATTTCGGAGGGAATGACACTTGAAAGACGGTTGTTGTTAAGAGTAAGGTTGTACAACAACTTCAAATTGCCTAGTTCTTTAGGAATCGTACCCTCAAGTTGATTCGATGATAGGTCAACCAATTTTAGTTTGGTAGAAAATCCAAGTTCCGATGGTATCTCACCGGATATATTATTGTTAGAGATTTTTAGGCTTGTCATGTTTTGGCACTGGCCCCATTTTGGTGAAACCTCACCATACAAATTATTGGAGCTCAAATCTATGAAGTTCAAGTAAGGATAGATACCAAAATCTTCGGTTATATTCCCTGTCGGTTGGTTCCCGTCAAGCCTAACTCTAAATAGAGTAGTACAATTATGCAAGCTTTTGGGTATTGGACCGGAGAAATCGTTGTTGGATGCTGTGAAGTTTTCAAGCAAACCTCCTAGGCATAAATCTTGTGGCAAATTGCCAATGAATTTGTTTTCATCCAAGATCAACACCTTACGAGTGTGTGAGTTCGTTCATATTTTGAGGTAAAGAACCGGATAGTTGGTTAGATTTAAAATATAGTTTTGACAAGTTTTTTAAGTTTCCTATCGAAGCGGGGACGAGTACCGGTTAAATTATTGTTTGACAAGTTAAGCTCATTAAGAGACTCGTAATGATCCAATGGAATTGGGAATTCTACCGAGTTAAAAGATTTTTTGACAAGTAAAGTTCAATGAGAGATTGTAATAACCCAATTTCTTGAGGAATGGAACCGGAGAGTTTGTTGTCCCAAAGATAGAGAATGGATAAGTTTCTCAAGTTTCCAATGGAATTAGGAATTCTACCGGTTAAAACATTGTTTGACAACTCGAAGGTCTTTAAGAGACTCGTAATGACCCAATTTCTTGAGGAATGAAACCAAAGAGTTTGTTACCCCAAAGATAGAGAATGGATAGGTTTCTCAAGTTTCCAATAGGAGGAGGGATCAGACCGTTGAGGTTATTTGCACATAGGTATAAAAAGTTGAGATTGGTCAACAAACCTATTTCAAATGGAATACTTCCTGTGAGATCGTTGTTACCGAAGTCCAAGTATCTAATTTTGGATATGTTACTAATGTGTGATGGAATGGTTCCATAAAGTGAATTGTCCCAAAGATTAAGAGTAAAAAGATTGGAGAAGGATGAGAAGTTCAAACCATGAAGCGTACCTCTCAAACCAAAATGTGGAAGGCTTAACTTGGTGACACTTCCAAAATCGTCGCAAGTGATCCCAATCCAATTGATGCAAGGATTGCTGTCGACCCAAGAAGACAGGAGAGATTGGCTTTGGTTGTCAAGACTTGCTTTCCACTTGAGAAGTGCCCCAGCTTCTTGATTATTGCTATCTTGAGCAACTTTGTACTTGGCAGCAGCAGTACCAAATACCGAAGTTGCAGAGGAAGTATAAGCAAAAGCAAAGAAAGAAGAAAAGGAGAAAAGGAGAAGGAGAAACACTGAGAATGGTTTGTGTGGTAAGGACGTGATATCCATTTGAAAGGGATGTGTATGGTTTGGTAAATGTGGAGGATGAAGATCCTAGCTAGGCAACAAGTAGAGGTATTTATAGGATAGGATGGAAAACATTATAATCTTTTCCTTTGTTCAATTACAAATGGTATGAGACTCTGCAAGGCAAAATGGTTAGGATGGGACAATATAGAGGTCTCTCAACTTCGGATTCTACTTTTGGACAAAACAATTCCTAAACACTCTATTTTTACACTAAAATTAAATATGCTTTTAATATAAATTAATTTGATTTTTTAAAAATAAATAATTAAACACTCTGTTTTTGCTTTTGGTTTCCGATTAAATAATAGTAATTATTAGAAAGGCTTTTAATAATAAATAATTAAATAACAGTTCTATTTGGTTTCAATATATAGTTTCTGTTGCAGTCGTTTTGGTTTCCGATTTATATTAATTTACTTCAAGAAGTTGTTCTACTGATTAAAAAATTTTATTTTCCATAAGAACTGTAAGACTTCTCATTATAGAAGATAATATAAGACAACAGAATAACAACGAAACCAAATAGAACTGAAAGTTACCTTCATTAAACTACTCGTTAGGACTTCAATATACGATATCAGGCTAACTAAATTTCCACCTTGCCATCTAAACCAGTTACTCTTAAGTTGTTGTAGCTATAATCCAAGCACAAAATGACATGACTAATCAAACAAGAAATAAACCAAGCCCACTTGACTCATGGACAAAATGACATGTGTAATCAATAAACACAATATTGACTGAATAAATTTGCAGGCTCGAAATCATGAAGTCCAGAAAACTGTTCCTAGTCGTCGCACAAATTCTTGGACTTTAAAAAAAGCATTCCAACTTTTCTTGATTTATAGGAAATAAGACAAAAGAATAAATTTTTTAAGTTTTGCAGATAAATTTAGTAATAAAGTGTGGCACCAATCATGTCAAACAAGGCCAAGGACCAATTCACTTGTGTGACAAAGTTTTGGAATCTTTATTTTTCGATCTAAATCATGTAGTTTGGCTCATTGGATCTCCAATAGAAAATCTTAAGAAATTATTGCAAAATTTAGGACCCAATAAGAAAAATCCAACAAAACAATTAAATGGCTCTCAATTATTTTACTTAAGAAGTTTATTCTCACACTCTTTTTTTTTTTAAAAAAAAAAAAGTCAAAAACGAATACAAAGCAAACAAAGGAATCAACTAAAAGAGATCTAGTAAACAAGCCCTACAAATGATTGATCAATCGATCCCATTAACTATGTGTGAGAATAGATTTTCCAAAGTTATTGTGGAGAATAGTTTTGGCCATGGAGTCCACCAACTTGTAAACTCTAAAGAAACTTTTCCCATGCTTTGTCGGTCGAGAATACTGGGCATACACCTTCATCAACCTGATTTTTAGGAATTCCGATATGCTGGTCAAGCTCAA